GGGAGGAGGGGGAGAGTCCACTGTGAGGGGGAGGAGGGGGAGAGTCCACTGTGAGGGGGAGGAGGGGAAGAGGAGGGGGAGAGTCCACTGTGAGGGGGAGGAGGGGGAGAGTCCACTGTGAGGGGGAGGAGGGGAAGAGGAGGGGGAGAGTCCACTGTGAGGGGGAGGAGGGGGAGAGGAGGGGGAGAGTCCACTGTGAGGATGGAGGAGGGGGAGAGTCCACTGTGAGGGGGAGGAGGGGAAGAGGAGGGGGAGAGTCCACTGTGAGGGGGAGGAGGGGGAGAGTCCACTGTGAGGATGGGAGGAGGGGGAGAGTCCACTGTGAGGATGGGAGGAGGGGGAGAGGAGGGGGAGAGTCCACTGTGAGGATGGGAGGAGGGGAAGAGGAGGGGGAGAGTCCACTGTGAGGATGGGAGGAGGGGGAGAGTCCACTGTGAGGATGGGAGGAGGGGGAGAGTCCACTGTGAGGGGGAGGAGGGGGAGAGTCCACTGTGAGGATGGGAGGAGGGGAGAGGAGGGGGAGAGTCCACTGTGAGGATGGGAGGAGGGGAGAGGAGGGGGAGAGTCCACTGTGAGGGGGAGGAGGGGAGAGTCCACTGTGAGGATGGAGGAGGGGGAGAGTCCACTGTGAGGGGGAGGAGGGGGAGAGGAGGGGGAGAGTCCACTGTGAGGATGGGAGGAGGGGGAGAGTCCACTGTGAGGGGGAGGAGGGGGAGAGTCCACTGTGAGGATGGGAGGAGGGGGAGAGTCCACTGTGAGAGGGAGGAGGGGGAGAGTCCACTGTGAGAGGGAGGAGGGGGAGAGTCCACTGTGAGGATGGGAGGAGGGGGAGAGGAGGGGGAGAGTCCACTGTGAGGATGGGAGGAGGGGAAGAGGAGGGGGAGAGTCCACTGTGAGGGGGAGGAGGGGAAGAGGAGGGGGAGAGTCCACTGTGAGGATGGGAGGAGGGGGAGAGTCCACTGTGAGGGGGAGGAGGGGGAGAGTCAACTGTGAGGATGGGAGGAGGGGGAGAGTCCACTGTGAGGGGGAGGAGGGGGAGAGGAGGGTGAGAGTCCACTGTGAGGATGGGAGGAGGGGGAGAGTCCACTGTGAGGGGGAGGAGGGGGAGAGTCCACTGTGAGGATGGGAGGAGGGGGAGAGTCCACTGTGAGGGGGAGGAGGGGGAGAGGAGGGGGAGAGTCCACTGTGAGGGGGAGGAGGGGGAGGAGGGGGAGAGGAGGGGGAGGAGGGGGAGAGTCCACTGTGAGGATGGGAGGAGGGGGAGAGGAGGGGGAGAGTCCACTGTGAGGGGGAGGAGGGGGAGAGGAGGGGGAGAGTCCACTGTGAGGGGGAGGAGGGGGAGAGTCCACTGTGAGGATGGGAGGAGGGGGAGGGAGGGGGAGAGTCCACTGTGAGGGGGAGGAGGGGGAGAGTCCACTGTGAGGATGGGAGGAGGGGGAGAGTCCACTGTGAGGGGGAGGAGGAGGAGAGTCCACTGTGAGGATGGGAGGAGGGGAGAGTCCACTGTGAGGGGGAGGAGGGGGAGAGTCCACTGTGAGGATGGGAGGAGGGGGAGAGTCCACTGTGAGGGGGAGGAGGAGGAGAGTCCACTGTGAGGATGGGAGGAGGGGGAGAGTCCACTGTGAGGGAGAGGAGGGGGAGAGTCCACTGTGAGGATGGGAGGAGGGGGAGAGTCCACTGTGAGGGGGAGGAGGGGGAGAGGAGGGGGAGAGTCCACTGTGAGGATGGGAGGAGGGGGAGAGTCCACTGTGAGGGGGAGGAGGGGGAGAGGAGGGGGAGAGTCCACTGTGAGGGGGAGGAGGGGGAGAGTCCACTGTGAGGGGGAGGAGGGGGAGAGGAGGGGGAGAGTCCACTGTGAGGGGGAGGAGGGGGAGAGGAGGGGGAGAGTCCACTGTGAGGGGGAGGAGGGGGAGAGTCCACTGTGAGGGGGAGGAGGGGGAGAGGAGGGGGAGAGTCCACTGTGAGGGGGAGGAGGGGGAGGAGGGGGAGAGTCCACTGTGAGGGGGAGGAGGGGGAGAGTCCACTTTGAGGATGGGAGGAGGGGGAGGAGGGGGAGAGTCCACTGTGAGGATGGGAGGAGGGGGAGAGGAGGGGGAGAGTCCACTGTGAGGATGGGAGGAGGGGGAGAGGAGGGGGGAGAGTCCACTGTGAGGATGGGAGGAGGGGGAGAGTCCACTGTGAGGGGGAGGAGGGGGAGAGGAGGGGGAGAGTCCACTGTGAGGATGGGAGGAGGGGGAGAGTCCACTGTGAGGATGGGAGGAGGGGGAGAGTCCACTGTGAGGGGGAGGAGGGGGAGAGTCCACTGTGAGGATGGGAGGAGGGGGAGAGTCCACTGTGAGGGGGAGGAGGGGGAGAGTCCACTGTGAGGATGGGAGGAGGGGGAGAGTCCACTGTGAGGATGGGAGGAGGGGGAGAGTCCACTGTGAGGGGGAGGAAGGTGCCAGTGATCCGTTGGGCAGTTTTCACCAGACGCTGGAGCACTTTTAGGGAAAATGAGTTCATCCTCTTAAACCAGCGAAATAAATCAATAAAACCAAATAAGACACAACTGTGTGTATAAAACTAGAAAAGACCGACGTTAACACGGGGTGAAGGTTGTGAAACGGTGGTAGTTTGGTCAGGTTCAGGACTAACTTACATAAGTCAGCATTGGACTTGAACCTTGATCTCCAGAGTAAAAAGTCCTGGTCCTACTTGGCAACCGCCTTCACCTCCTTAAGGTCCTTTCAGACACAATGCAATTTGCGCTCCGGCTCTCACGACCGAAGCCAATGTGGAAATAACTTAAACCTGCGTCCTCTCTAGCAGCCAGCAGGGGGCGACTTAAACCTGCGTCCTCTCCAGCAGCCAGCAGTGGGCGACTTAAACCTGCGTCCTCTCCAGCGGCCAGCAGGGGGCGCCTTAAACCTGCGTCCTCTCCAGCAGCCAGCAGTGGGCGACTTAAACCTGCGTCCTCTCTAGCAGCCAGCAGGGGGCGACTTAAACCTGCGTCCTCTCCAGCGGCCAGCAGGGGGCGACTTAAACCTGCGTCCTCTCCAGCGGCCAGCAGGGGGCGACTTAAACCTGCGTCCTCTCCAGCAGCCAGCAGGGGGCGACTTAAACCTGCGTCCTCTCCAGCAGCCAGCAGGGGGCGACTTAAACCTGCGTCCTCTCCAGCAGCCAGCAGGGGGCGACTTAAACCTGCGTCCTCTCTAGCAGCCAGCAGGGGGCGACTTAAACCTGCGTCCTCTCTAACAGCCAGCAGGGGGCGCCTTAAACCTGCGTCCTCTCTAACAGCCAGCAGGGGGCGACTTAAACCTGCGTCCTCTCTAACAGCCAGCAGGGGGCGACTTAAACCTGCGTCCTCTCTAGCAGCCAGCAGGGGGCGACTTAAACCTGCGTCCTCTCTAGCAGCCAGCAGGGGGCGACTTAAACCTGCGTCCTCTCCAGCGGCCAGCAGGGGGCGACTTAAACCTGCGTCCTCTAACAGCCAGCAGGGGGCGACTTAAACCTGCGTCCTCTCTAGCAGCCAGCAGGGGGCGACTTAAACCTGCGTCCTCTCTAGCAGCCAGCAGGGGGCGACTTAAACCTGCGTCCTCTCTAACAGCCAGCAGGGGGCGACTTAAACCTGCGTTCTCTCAGCAGCCAGCAGGGGGCGACTTAAACCTGCGTCCTCTCCAGCAGCCAGCAGGGGGCGACTTAAACCTGCGTCTCTCCAGCGGCCAGCAGGGGGCGACTTAAACCTGCGTCCTCTCCAGCGGCCAGCAGGGGGCGACTTAAACCTGCGTCCTCTCTAGCAGCCAGCAGGGGGCGACTTAAACCTGCGTCCTCTCCAGCGGCCAGCAGGGGGCGACTTAAACCTGCGTCCTCTCTAACAGCCAGCAGGGGGCGACTTAAACCTGCGTCCTCTCTAGCAGCCAGCAGGGGGCGACTTAAACCTGCGTCCTCTCTAGCAGCCAGCAGGGGGCGACTTAAACCTGCGTCCTCTCTAACAGCCAGCAGGGGGCGACTTAAACCTGCGTTCTCTCCAGCAGCCAGCAGGGGGCGACTTAAACCTGCGTTCTCTCCAGCAGCCAGCAGGGGGCGACTCCAGCGGCTGCAGAAAGAAGTGTGATTGTATAGAAGTCTGTGAGAAAATGTTTCTACTTGTCAGCTGATTTATTCCCTCAGTAAACACTTTCCTGATGAGTTTCTGGTCTCAGTCGCTAGTTTCAAGTCTTCTTCAACACAGCATGATGTTCATTTAGTAAATTATGGTCCCATTTAGAGGAACAGAGACCAGGAAGCAGGGGAGGCTTTAGGGCGGGGCTACAAGGACAATACAATACGGATAGAGGTAAGTAAGCACATTTTGTTTTAAGCCTGTTTGTCGCTAGCCAAAATTAGCATCCCAGCTAATATCACAGTTAATGTGAATTACAGATGCAGCTGGCGCCAAATATGCTCACGTTTGGTGTCCGGTTGCAAAAAATCAACATGCGATGGCCAAAAAACTCGAGGCTTCAAAACGGCAGTCCACAAACAAATGTTGTGACATCACGGCGGCTATGTCACTTCTTTTGTCGTGTCTACGGGTTCAGCGCAGGAGGTCAACAAGGTTGAATTTTGACTGCGGGTTGCGTGCGAGCTTGCAAAGCGGTACGTTGCATGTTGGTCGACGCAGCAACAAAATAATGCTGCATTGTGTCTGAAAGGCACTTACGCCTTACCGACTTTGTTGCTCTTTATACCGCATCTCCTGACTTCTTCTGCCACAAGAGGTCGCTGCCTCACACAAAACCTGAACATGAGTCAAAATAAGCTGCTGCATGATCCACAAATAGTTTCTCTGCTGAGAAGGCGGGAAAAAGGGGATTTAATGTGACCTTTAAAGACTTGCTGGTTCCCAGAAAGTGCATGTGTAATGCTTCTGAAGAAGATGAAGATGATGATGATGAGGATGAGGGGGAGGACCCGTGTCTCCGTGCAGCCTCCGGAGCGCAGGGCGGGGCGACGCCGCGCAGCAGCAGCAGCAGCTTCATCACCGCTGACCGACACCGACCTCCTGCTCGTCTCCAGGCCGCGGCATGGACGCCGGAGCCCGGCCTGTTTCCTCTGAATCACAGCGGGTCCGGTTCGAGCGGCGTTCCGCACCGAAGCTGAAGATAATACCGACGGTGAAGAAGATAAAGATGATGATGATGATGGCGGTGTGCAGTTAGAGCTGCGGAGCGGAAACACGCCGCAAACAGAATCCGTGCGGGAGCATCGCGCTCCGATGCAGCAGAAAAATCGCCATTGTTTGGATGCGCAGCAGACTGAGAGGAAAAACCCAGACTGTACGGGAAGTGTTTGACAGAGAGACGCCATGCTTTCACCGCTGCTTCTAACGGTGTGTCTGCTCTGGTTTACCCAGGTAAGGAGCCGTTTTTCCCGGTAGATATTGAGTGTTGGAGGCGCCGCTGCCGCCGCCTGTCTGGGCGCATGTGAAGCAGCTGTGCGGCTTGGCTTTGTCAAAACAGAGCAGATAAAATGGGTTTAAGTGAATGGAGAAGTTATAAAGGAGGTGTGTGGTGAGGATGTAGGTGTGTGTGTGTGCTGGAGGAGGAGCGGGGAGACGGACGCGTTGTGGCACCGCAGGTCGGTTTGTGAGGCAGCCAGCAGCTCGTTTGGCCCTGCGGAAAGTGGGTCAGTCGGCTGCAGCCTCAGTGATTCCCTGCAAGTCTGTCAGCATCACTGAGGATCACTCACGCAGGCGCGTGAGCGCGCGCACACACACACCAGAAGAAACCTGTCTGTCTGAACAACAGCGCGATTTTCCATCCACAGCTGGTGCTTTTTCATTTACCTGCACAGGTGCGGTGCAGCCTGCCTGAGCGTTTCTATCTTTCTAGTTCTTTCAGAATGAGCTGTCGCCTCCTGCTGCATTTTCTACCTGAGGACTCCTGTGTCCAGATCTACTGCTTTTTAATATGTCAGGGGGGATGATGCTGGTTCAGGTGTAGCAGTTGGTTTCTGCAGGGGAGACGTGTGCATGTAATTTTCATTTAACCTCGTTAGTTTATGAAAACTAAAGTGAAAGAAAAGCTCAGAGTAGTGGTTCCCAACATGGGGGCCATGACCAGAAATAAAACACCTGGCACACAAAATGATGGTTTTTTTTTCTCCAGAGCTGCAGCTGATCCACCAGTTACACTCAGTGTCCAGTTTATTAGGTACAGGTAGCGCAAACTAACGTGTGGACACAACAGTTCACCTGCAGACTTAATCATCTGCATATTTTTATTTATACGGCTGTTTCTTGGTCTGCTGCAGCCTTGAGGAAAGTGTGGTCTTCGCTTCCAGGACTTGATCCCTAAAGTCAGGAGTGAATCTGAAAAAGGGGTGTTTAAGCACGCTGCTCCCAAAATGGCCTGAATCTTCACAGCTGCTCTCACTGGGTGCGTTTACAGTCATTTCATATGACTTGGATGCAGGCACATGTGGCGGGAGACGCTTTGACTGACTGGTCTGTTTGATCCCTGATGGCGATGCCTTGTGACAGTTTATGATCCTGAAATTTATTCTTTATTTTCATAGTAAGATGCTGTGTTTTTATGTCTGTAACCCTGTTGATCGTGCTGCTGCCTGCCTCATTCCCAGAGCGTCAGATCCCTACGCTTTGTCACGTCCTTCAGCATCTGGCAGCCTTTCACGTCATAGTTTAACGCACTGAGGGGAAGCCCTTTAGCGCCACTGTTCAACGCTAAAAGTACTGCTGTAAAAAACAGAAAAGTCAGCTGAAGGAGGTGGATGGTGGGTCAGAAACCGGACTTTCACCCTGGAGACTGATGTTCGTTCCCCGTGTGAAACAAAAAGTCAACACTGATTCCTTTATTTTAACCCAAACCGTGATCTTTTCCTAAACGTTACCAAGTGGTTTTGGTGCCCAGGCGTCTATATGTGACGCCCTGGGATGAGAACGGGTTGGGCCAGGACTTTTTCTGGTTAAATAAAGGTGATAAAAACACAACAGTCCTGCTGTAAATTCTAACCTTCATGAAGCGAACAGTATTATAAATCAACAGCAGCACAAACTACATCACAAACTACATCCTCCTGCATGAAGGAGGATCTGTTACCAGGCCGATCGATTGGACTGACTTAGAGGAAGGTAGTGTTCCTAATAAAGTGGACACTTGAGTGTATTTTCATTGACCCTATGAGTTCGTATTTCAAGTTTTGAAATAAAATACACGACATTTAAGAAGAATAAGATTCAAATGGAGTCAGTGAAGCTGGGGAGAGCCCACCTTCTACAGTTTCTTGTTTGGCTGCTTGTGTTTTAAACACAGACGCTATAAAGGAAGTGGATGTGGCCGCCGTGACGTCACGCGTTGGTTTGTGGACTGCTGTTTTGAAGCCTCGAGTTTGGCATTTTGGCGTTATCTTGATTGTTTTGCAACTAGCTTGCTAGCTTGGTTAGCAAGGTGCATCTGTAATTCATGTCAACTGTGATATTAGCAGGTAGCGACTTGTCAATCAGCTTGTAGCCCCGCCCTAAAGCCTCCCCTGCTTCCTGGTCTCTGTTCCCCTAAATGGGACCATAATTTACTAAATGAACATCATGCTGTGTTGAAGAAGACTTGAAACTAGCGACTGAGACCAGAAACTCATCAGGAAAGTGTTTACTGAGGGAATAAATCAGCTGAGAAGTAGAAACATTTTCTCACAGACTTCTATACAATCACACTTCTTTCTGCAGCCGCTGGAGTCGCCCCCTGCTGGCTGCTGGAGAGGACGCAGGTTTAGTTATTTCAGCACTGGCTTCACTTTCCTGAGGTTCCTGCTTGAATTTAAAAAACAAAAGTTTGGTCTCTGTTGTTCAACGAAAAAATTATTTTGTAGAAAAACAGTTTTAGTTTTTTATGTCTCAAAATATTAATTTGTTTTTATTTAATTAATAATTCAAACATGCTGTGAACAACATGTCCGTTGTTTAATTAAGGGATAATCTTTACTTTTTTATTTTATATGCACTGAAACAATTAGTTTATCGACAGAAAATGTATTAATCCCCATCTTTTTTTCTAATCATTCTTTTTCTATAACATTGAAAAATGTTCGTCAGACATCATGTTTTGTCCCACCAACCCCAAACAGTATTCAGTTTGTAGTAAACAGGAACTAAGAGGATTGTCATTCAGCACCATGAGATGAACACATGTGACAGCTGGAGTTGCTACACTGGGTATAAAGAGTTTTTATATTTGACATTAGATGAGCTCTTAGTATTAATATCTTCTTTCTGTGTGTCACGCACTTCAGTATGTGACTCTGCAGTCTTTTCAGTTTTATCTGATGGTTTGAGTTTTGCAATTTCCTCTGTGTGTGTGTGTGTGTGTGTGTGTGTATATTTTTTTTTTTCAACCACACTGACTATTCATATCAAACATTATATTCTGCAGCCTTCTGTGTCACTAACCACAGTAATCTCAGAGGAGTGACCGCGGTTCTTGTGGGTCGCCATGCCATGTAACTAGGCGAAAAAAAACAAAAACAGAAAAACCCTATATATATATATATATATAATGTATTTATGAGTAAGAAAGCCTTTTTGTTGCTGTTGTATTTTCATGTCTGACACTCATAGCTGAAGATATCATATTGTAAAATGACCCAGTTTCCACTTTTTACGTTAGCTAATGAAGTGTTTAGGGGGGAATCTCTAGGCACCTCACGATTCGATGACAATCAGAGGATTGCGATGCGATTTAAAAAAAAAAAAAAAAAGATTATTGTTGCATCTTGATGGATCTTTTTCTGTTCTGGATTTTTTTTTTCTCACTGTGTGACTACTTGTCAGTCCAGTATTTGTAATGACCCAACCAAGTCGGCAGGAACGACATGCGGCTAATTAACGTTACGTTAACCGCCAAATAATGTACCGTTGTGGCTGGACGATACGGCCAGAAACGCTGTCACGATGAGAAGTTGCTTATCTTTCGATATTGATAATTATCACGATAAGTATCAAATCTTTTTAAAGGCTGATTTTTGCTCCTGAGTTAAAGTTGAAGAAACCAGATTGTGGTTTAAACTTTTCTTTATGGGCAACACTTGAGGCCAAACCGTGGATCACTTCACAAATCTGAGGTAGAACATTCAAAACAATCATGATAAAAACTTTAACAAATATGCACGAGGAAAATTAAGTAAAAGCTTTTTCCTCAACAAAATAAACATCTTGATAAAAAATTAAGTCCTCATTCGTGTATGATTCAAGTGAATAAAATCAAACATTTGTTGTTGTTGTTTTATTGTCCGGCCCTACGCTACTGTTAGCTTTCCTGCTCCAAGTGCGAAGCCCCGGCGAGATGGACCAACTCTGTCCATTTACTGCCAGACTGACAACTTACTGCTAATTTTTCAGGTCACTTTCACCGTCAATTTCTGCCGCCTGTCACACAGATGTCCTTTGAAGAATGAGGAGAGGAAGCCGTTAAGCATTGATCCACTTTCTTAACTTTCTTTACAAACTCGGGAGTGAAATGTTTAAGAGTGGTCTCTGTGTTGGCAGTGGTTTGAGATTTTTAGATAAAAAAAACAAAGTTACTGATGAATAAAATGGATCGTATTTCACTTTTGGCTTTTTGTAGGCTGAGGACGGGACGTTCGAGCTCCTGTTGGGTTGAATTAGGTGCTAATCGAAAGGTCAGAGTTCAGCAGCCCTTTTTAAAATCTAGATATCGCAGTTGTTTAGATCCAAACCAAAGTTATTAATGATGCAGCAGCAGTCTTTGGGAATTTATTATTTAAATAATATGTTTTGAACTTTCTATTGGATTAGATCACAATTATTTTCAGCTCTCCAACAGAGCAGTTGGGTTCATGTACTGAACGCTGCCTCCAGGACCTGACGGCATGTTAGGAGGTTAAATCCCAACATGAGCGGGTAAAATGTGAAACGCGTGCTGCTGCAGCTCATTAAGACACAACATTTCTGACGCTGACACGTGGCAGGCAGCAGTCGTGACGCTCTGAAGGTCTCGTACAGCAGCAATGAAATGATGCTGCTGCTGCTTTTCACGGTGATTAGTGTGATAATGATCTTACAACCACCATGTGAGCTCATTAATGCTCTCGTGCTGCGGGAGGGTTAACCTCATCTCCATACGGGAAAACAAAAACTCAAATCAACATCCACCCAAACCTGTAGCCCCAAATATTATGAGATAATTAACATTATGCATCCAAACACTGTCTCCGGTTAAATACGAGCCATCAGGAGAAATGTGACCTGCAGGATTCAGGTGAGGATTCAAGACTTTCAGGAGAAAAATGGTTCGTTTTCTGCTCTTGTCTTCGAAGTCAGTTCGACTTGGTGAGGAAAATCTTTTCCAGCTTGGATTTCTCCCAGTTCTGGATCTGTTGGAG